CACATGCACATTTGTGGCCTGCTGGAGGTCATTTTGCAGGGCTCTGGCAGTGCTCCTGCTGCTCCTCCTTGCACATAGGCGGAGGTAGCAGTCCTGCTGCTGGGTTGTTGCCCTCCTACGGCCTCCTCCACGTCTCCTGATGTACTGGCCTGTCTCCTGGTAGCGCCTCCATGCTCTGGACACTACGCTGACAGACACAGCAAACCTTCTTGCCACAGCTCGCATTGATGTGCCATCCTGGATGAGCTGCACTACCTGAGCCACTTGTGTGGGTTGTAGACTCAGTGTGAAAGCACCGCCAGCATTCAAAAGTGACCAAAACATCAGCCAGGAAGCATAGGAACTGAGAAGTGGTCTGTGGTCACCACCTGCAAAACCAGTCCTTTATTGGGGGTGTCTTGCTAATTGCCTATAATTTCCACCTGTTGTCTATTCCATTTGCACAACAGCATGTGACATTTATTGTCAATCAGTGTTGCTTCCTAAGTGGACAGTTTGATTTCACAGAAGTGTGATTGACTTGGAGTTACATTGTGTTGTTTAAGTGTTCCCTTTATTTTTTTGAGCAGTGTACGTACGTACACACACACACACACACACACACACACACACACACACACACACACACACACACACATACACACACAGAGCTGCGGAATAAATTAAGACACCACTGCAAAATTAATTATTATTTCTCTGGTTTTACTATTTATATGTATGTGTTTGGGTAAAAATAACAACATTTTTGTTTTATTCTATAAACTACTGACAACATTTCTCCCAAATTCCAAATAAATATATTGTCATTTAGAGCATTTATTTGCAGAAAATGACAACTGGTCAAAATAACAAAAAAGATGCAGTGTTGTCAGACCTCGAATAATACAAAGAAAATAAGTTAATGTTCATTTCTAAACAACACAATAGTAATGTTTTAATTTAGGAAGAGTTCAGAAATCAATATTTGGTGGAATAACCCTGATTTTCAATCACAGCTTTCATGCGTCTTGGCATGCTCTCCACCAGTCTTTCACATTGATGTTGGGTTACTTTATGCCACTCCTGGTGCAAAAAATCATTTGTTTGATGGCTTGTGACCATCCATCTTCCTCTTGATCACATTCCAGAAGTTTTCAATGGGGTTCAGGTCTGGAGATTGGGCTGGCCATGACAGGGTCTTGATCTGGTGGTCCTCCATCCACACCTTCATTGACCTGGCTGTGTGGCATGGTGCATTGTCCTGCTGGAAAAACCAATCCTCAGAGTTGGGGAACAATGTCAGAGAAAAGGAAGCAAGTTTTCTTCCAGGACAACCTTGTACGTGGCTTGATTTATGCATCCTTCACAAAGACAAATCTGCCCGATTCCAGCCTTGCTGAAGCACCCCCAGATCATCACTGATCCTCCACCAAATTTCACAATGAGTGCGAGACTCTGTGGCTTGTAGGCCTCTCCAGGTCTCCGTCTAACCATTAGAAGACCAGGTGTTGGGCAAAGCTGAAAATTGGACTCATCAGAGAAGATGACCTTACTCTAGTCCTCTACGGTCCAATCCTTATGGTCTTTTGCAAACCTCAGCCTGGCTCTTCTTTGCTTCTAATTGATGAAGGGCTTTTTTCTAGCTTTGCACGACTTTAGCCCTGCCCCTAGGAGCCTGTTTCGAACCATCCTCGCCGTGCACTTCACACCAGCTGCCGTTTGCCATTATTTTTGTAGGTCACTTGATGTCATCCTACGGTTGTTGAGTGACATTCGAATGAGTTGGCGGTCATCCCAGTCAGTAGAGAGTCGTTTTCACCCTCTGTCGGTCTGTAGCTTTGTTGTCCCCAATGTCTGCTGCTTGACCTTGTTCTTATGAACCCCCGTCTTTGAAATTTTAAGGATGGAAGCAACCTGACACTCACTGTATCACTCTGCCAGTAAAGCCAGAATTGAACCCTTCTTTTCCTCACTCAAAACATTCCTTTTCAACTCTTTTGGCATGGTCAATAGTTATTTTTTGATTCATATTACTTTTGGGGTACTATTAGCACTGTTTTTGCCATCCAGCTGGTCCTATTGCAAGCGGATAGTGATCACCACAGCAGTGGTTTTTATACTTTTCCTCGTTAAATAAGATTTGGTTCATGTGATCACCTAATCAGTCCCTAATTCAGTAGAATGAGGTGTGCCTGTGTTGGAATTCAATAGACACTGGAATGGAATGGCTGTCATACATGTAGAGATGCTGATTTAAGAAACATTTGCAGTGGTCTTTTAATTTTTTCCACAGCTGTATATACATATATATACATACAGTTGAAGTCGGAAGTTTACCTACACCTTAGCCAAGTACATTTAAACTCAGTTTTTAACAATTCCTGACATTTAATCCTAGTACAAATTCCCTGTCTTAGGTCAGTTAGGATCACCACTTTATTTTAAGAATGTGAAATGTCAGAATAATAGTAGAGAGAATTATTTCTTTCACCTTTTATTTCTTTCATCACATTCCCAGTGGGTCAGAAGTTTACATACACTCAATTAGTATTTGGTAGCATTGCCTTTAAATTGTTTAACTTGGGTCAAACGTTTCGGGTAGCCTTCCACAAGCTTCGCACAATAAGTTGGGTGAATTTTGGCCCTTTCCTCCTGACAGAGCTGTAACTGAGTCAGATTTGAAGGCCTCCTTGCTCGCACACACTTTTTCATTTCTTCCCTCAAATGTTCTATATGATTAAGGTCAGGGCTTTGTGATGGCCACTCCAATACCTTGACTTTGTTGTCCTTAAGCCATTTTGCCACAACTTTGGAAGTATGCTTGGGATCATTGTCCATTTGGAAGACCCATTTGCGGCCAAGCTTTAACTTCCTGACTGATGTCTTGAGATGTTGCTTCAATATATCCACATCATTTTCCTTCCTCATGATGCCATCTATTTTGTGAAGTGCGCCAGTCCCTCCTGCATTAAAGCACCCTCACAGCATGATGCTGCCACCCCCGTGCTTCACTGTTGGGATGGTGTTCTTCAGCTTGCAAGCCTACCCCTTTTTCCTCCAAACATAACGATGGTCATTATGGCCAAACAGTTTTATTTTTGTTTCATCAGACCGGAGGACATTTCTCCAAAAAGTACAATCTTTGTCCCCATCTGCAGTTGCAAACCGTAGTCTGGCTTTTTAATGGCGGTTTTGGAGCAGTGGCTTCTTCCTTGCTGAGCGGCCTTTCAGGTTATGTCGATATAGGACTCGTTTTACTGTGGATATAGATACTTTTGTACCTGTTTCCTCCAGCATCTTCACAAGGTCCTTTGCTGTTGTTCTGTGATTGATTTGCACTTTTCGCACCAAAGTACTTTCATCTCTAGGCGACAGAACGCGTCTCCTTCCTGAGCGGTATGACGGCTGCGTGGTCCCATGTTTATACTTGCGTACTATTGTTTGTACAGATGAACGTGGTACCTTCAGGCATTTGGAAATTGCTCCCAAGGATGAACCAGACTTGTGGAGGTCTTTTTTTCTGAGGTCTTGGCTGATTTCTTGATGTCAAGCAAAGAGGCACTGAGTTTGAAGGTAGGTCTTGAAATACATCCACAGGTACACCTCCAATGATGTCAATTAGCCTATCAGAAGCTTCTAAAGCCATGACATCATTTTCTGGAATTTTCCAAGCTGTTTAAAGGCACAGTCAATTTAGTGTATGTAAACTTCTGACCCATTGGAATTGTGATACAGTGAATTATAAGTGAAATAATCTGTCTGTAAACAATTGTTGGAAAATTACTTGTGTCATGCACAAAGTAGATATCATAACGACTTGCCAAAACTATAGTTTGTTAACAAGACATTTGTGGAGTGGTTGAAAAACAAGTTTTAATGACTCTAACCTAAGTGTATGTAAACTTCCGACTTCAACTGTATCCTTTAAAAATATATATTTCTCTTCATTACTTTCCAACCAGTCACAGCTCTTTGTCTTTTGGCAATGCTAGGGACTCACACAGTGCTTTTCACATACAGTGTTTTCAACTTACAGTGGGGGAAAAAAACTTGCACAATTGGTGGCTGACTAAATATTTTTTTCCCCCACTGTATATAGTTCACACATTTTGACATACATTATTACATTGCGTATGTTTTTTTCATACAGTAATTACTATTTAATATGTCCTCACCTGGGATTTGAACTCACAACCTCTTGGTTCACAGCGTTCCAATCCTCTTGCTATGCCACCATGTCTGTATCAATAACAGATTTCACCTGTAGGACTGTTCCTACACTTTGCAAAATATACTGATTTTTTATTTATTTATTTATCATGGTGTAACATTAAAACAGAATAATATGCCCCACCAACATTTGACAACTATACCAAAATCCGAAACTCAAATTGCTGAAATTAAATCAATAAGAGAATAGTCAGATTAATTGATAAGTAAAATAGCAGTGCAGATGGCACTCTTTTCCTAAGTGCAGAAATGTATTATAGGTAATGAATGTGTAGGGAGGGGACTTCTGTGGTGCATCAGAAAGGTCAACATACCCCAAATCCAGAAGTTGTGAGTTCGAATACCACATTGGAAAGTCAGTACTAAGTGATCATGTCAAATGTAATCATATTGTCATTGATTAAATATTTGTACACTATTTTAGCTGAACAGCGTACCATTTACCTTAAAACCCCTATACCATTTCATTGCTTTATTTATAATGGTTTGGGACACCTGGGACCATCACCTGACACAATGTCCCCTGGACAAACTGAGAAATAGACTAAACCTCCAGGGGACCACGAATGAACGTCCCAAGAACGTCCTAAAAACGCCCTCGAGGATGTCCCCGGGACAAACCGGGAACCTGACAAAACCTCCAAGGGACCATGACACAACGTCCAAAGAATGTTCAGGGGACCATCAGGGGACCATGACACAATGTCCCAAGAATGTCCTAAAAGCGTCCCCGGAACAAACCGGGAACTATAAAAAGGTCCGCCAGAGAACGTTCACTTGGGACCATCACGTGATGTCCTAAGGACTAGTAAAATGAAAGTCCTGAGAACATCCTAAAAAGGTCCTGACATGGTCCTCAGTGACGTCCTGGGAACATACAGGGAACTAGACAAAGGTCCCCCAGAGAACATTCCCTTGGGACCATCACGCAGTGTTCTTAGAACGTCAGTGGGATAACGTCGCACTGAAACCCTTAAGGGACAAAATGGGAACGTCCACAGGACATTCCGTTTGCTGGGTGGTGTCATATCTACAAACCAAACACTGGGGGCTCATTGAGCTGTGGTACCTTTTGGATGCTACCAGTGAAGTGGTGGAGCAGGGCAGCACCAGCATTGATCTTAGTCCTGGGGTTGATGCGTTCTGGAACGCCCCCGATGAACAGAGGACCGCTGCACCTGATCTGAGTGAATGCTCCCTGAGCAACAGGAGAGAGGAAGCCAAACTACATTTACTTAAAACAACAATCAAAGACAACCAAATTCACATTTCTAATTTACAGTTTATTCAAACATTATGATCAGTCTTTACTGAAATGTTCAGTGTATGTTTTCAGTGGGCTCCATGAAGGTCAGTACCTCTGACAGGCTGTGTGTGGGAATCTGGTTATCCACCTGCAGGATGCCCTCTCTGCCTGTCCTGGAGACACGCAGCTCATGCCACTCGTTCATTGTGAGCGGCTCTTCACTCCTGCATATAAACAGATACATCAGCCTTTCCAGTGCTGACCAGACACACCATTTCTCCTATTTGGTTACATTTATGTAATGCCTTGGTTCTGCACATAGATGATGGCCTTTCCTCAGAATGTGATTGCTCTACAACGTCAACATGTTGAAGTATAAAAATGTGCATGCTTCCCCCACGACTAAGCAACCCTACTGTTATTCCTAACCTGATTTTGGCTGTCCCAGAGCCACAGTCGAAGCTGAACTCCAGGTATCCTCCCACCAGACTGATTGACAGGAAGTCTCTGCTGGCTGAGTCCTGGCTGTAGAGCAGAGTGCCATCAGGAGCTGTCGGCCTGAAGGTCACCTCAAACTCCATCCAGGACAGGTAGTGTCTGGAGGACTGAGGCCAGGGGGTGCTAGCGTATGACAGCACAGACGCATTAAAGTACGGCACCACCAGCTGGAAGCCTGGGGGAATACATAGAAGGGGATACAGGTAAGGTGTGTGTGTGTGTGTGTGTGTGAGATTACAGTAGGTTATAAAATAGAAAATCAGAAGATGTGGTAGCTACTCACTCTCCTGGCATAGAGGACCCCTATAACCCAGTGGGCACAGACATATGTACCAATCTGCATGGCTGGCAAAGCAAGTTCCTCCATTGGCACAAGTGACCCCTTCACAGACACTGGCACTGCATTCACCTACAGGGTGAACCACATACACTAACACACTGTCTCACACCACAGTATACCAGTCATTTAAACAGTCCTACTTACAGAATAGATGTTTGTGAAAGTGAGCAAGAGAGCGAGGGAGCGAGAGAGAAAGATAGAAAGAGAAAAGAGGTAGAGAGATATTGAAAGAAAGAGAGCTAGATAGAGAGAGAGATACAGAGAAAGAGCTAAAAAAAAAGGCAGAGAGAAAAATAAAAGATAGAAAGTGTGTCAACAAAAATCACTTTTTTATATAATCTAATTTAGGGACAGCTCATTAGGGACTATTGTGTCTGACCACATTGGCATCTCCCTGCTGGCATTCATCAAATCCTATTGAACTAGAACACAGACTTCCTTTCTGTCTCTCTGAATAATAGGAGTGATGAGGAGGAAGACTTCCAGAGGCTGCCATAGAAACACATCTCACCAACCCTAGGCCATTCTATCTAACCAGACGCAGACCCACACATCAAAGCTTTGTCTGCACACAGTCTTAATGTGCACATGTTGTACACAACAAGGACTGCTGTGTGTCACAATATATACTGAGCAACTGACTCAAGATTACAGTATGTTTTTAGGATATTCAAACATCAACAAGAAAGAAGGCAAATGGGCCAGTGACCAGGAAGTTGTTGGTTCCAACAGCAAATAAGACATGGCAAGGGGCTTAAAAACAAATAGAAGTTTATAACCTACTGTCATTAAACACTTGTACAGTGAGGGAAAAAAGTATTTGATCCCCTGCTGATTTTGTACGTTTGCCCACTGACAAAGATATGATCAGGCTATAATTTTAATGGTAGGTTTATTTGAACAGTGAGAGACAGAATAACAACAACAAAAATCCAGAAAAACGCATGTCAAAAATGATATAAATTGATTTGCATTTTAATGAGGGAAATAAGTCTTTGACCCCTCTGCAAAACATGACTTAGTACTTGGTGGCAAAACCCTTGTTGGCAATCACAGAGGTCAGACGTTTCTTGTAGTTGGCCACCAGGTTTACACACATCTCAGGAGGGATTTTGTCCCACTCCTCTTTGCAGATCTTCTCCAAGTCATTAAGGTTTCGAGGATGACATTTGTCAACTCGAACCTTCAGCTCCCTCCACAGATTTTCTATGGGATTAAGGTCTGGAGACTGGCTAGGCCACTCCAGGTCCTTAATGTGCTTCTTCTTGAGCCACTCCTTTGTTGCCTTGGCCGTGTGTTTTGGGTCATTGTCATGCTGGAATACCCATCCACGACCAATTTTCAATGCCCTGGCTGAGGGAAGGAGGTTCTCACCCAAGATTTGACGGTACATGGCCCCGTCCATCGTCCCTTTGATGCGGTGAAGTTGTCCTGTCCCCTTAGCAGAAAAACAACCCCAAAGCATAATGTTTCCACCTCCATGTTTGACGGTGGGGATGGTGTTCTTGGGGTCATAGGCAGCATTCCTCCTCCTCCAAACACTGCGAGTTGAGTTGATGCCAAAGAGCTCGATTTTGGTCTCATCTGACCACAACACTTTCACCCAGTTCTCCTCTGAATCATTCAGATGTTCATTGGCAAACTTCAGACGGCCCTGTATATGTGCTTTCTTGAGCAGGGGGACCTTGCTGGCGCTGCAGGATTTTAGTCCTTCACAGCGTAGTGTGTTACCAACTGTTTTCTTGGTGACTATGGTCCCAGCTGCCTTGAGATCATTGACAAGATTCTCCCATGTAGTTCTGGGCTGATTCCTCACCGTTCTCATGATCATTGCAACTCCACGAGGTGAGACCTTGCATGGAGCCCCAGGCCGAGGGAGATTGACAGTTCTTTTGTGTTTCTTCCTTTTGCGAATAATCGCACCAACTGTTGTCACCTTCTCACCAAGCTGCTTGGTGATGGTCTTGTAGCCCATTCCAGCCTTGTGTAGGTCTACAATCTTGTCCCTGACATCCTTGGAGAGCTCTTTGGTCTTGGCCATGGTGGAGAGTTTGGAATCTGATTGATTGATTGCTTCTGTGGACAGGTGTCTTTTATACACTCCCTTTAAGAGTGTGCTCCTAATCTCAGCTCGTTACCTGTATAAAATACACCTGGGAGCCAGAAATCTTTCTGATTGAGAAGGGGGGTCAAATACTTATTTCCCTCATTAAAATGCAAATCAATTTATAACATTTTTGACATGCGTTTTTATGGATTTTTTTGTTGTTATTCTGTCTCTCACTGTTCAAATAAACCTACCATTAAAATTGTAGACTGATCATTTCTTTGTCAGTGGGCAAACGTACAAAATCAGCAGGGGATCAAATACTTTTTTCCCTCACTGTATGTTAATCATTGATTGACATGTTACTTGCTATGACCTTCACACAATGACATGAATAAGCAGGGATAAACTCCCCAACAAACAGAGAGAGTAAATGAGGTGAGAGATAAGAGATTATGATGGAAACATTAATGTATTAGAATCCAGTGGCTTCAGTTCAGTGACTCACCCACATCCGCCCCACTAAGAGCCCATCCCATTGGCCAAGGCCTCATGTCCGTCACCCTGCTGTTGACGCTTAGCATCTGGATACACCCCTGGAAACCCCGATTGGTCCCTGCTGTCCTGGCCAGCCAATAAGCATTAGGGGAGCCACCCACGTAAAGAGGAGTTCTGAATGTGATCTTATTGTAGTCACCCTGTAGGATCAGAGATTAGGAGATACACACCCAGACAGGGCCGGGCAGCACATAGGATTATTACACTGTGTTCTGTGTATTTACCAGTAGCAGCAGTGTGCTCTTTTGTAATGTACATCCTATATACAGTATGAATTGTCCTCACCTGTGAGTGTCCTGTGACAGGTGTGTCATTGTCCAGTCTTAGCCAGCCAATCGCACCCTCCCTGCCGACAACGACACTGTGCCACTGGCCCAGTGCCACCCGAATCCCACTCACTATCTGGGCACTGCCTGTGCCACAGTTAAACCTGCACACACAGATAGAGGTGAGGTGTGTCAGTTAGTGAGTGAGTGAGTGACTGACTGACTGATTTGTATCAACATGAACCCACCTAAAGTGGAGCTTCCCATGTATCAGAGCCAGTGAGGTGAAGTCTCCACTGCCATGTTCATTCTCCCCACAGAACAACAGAAGGCCATTCTCTGAGTCAGTCTGTGGAGTAACAAGACAGGGGTGACCATCCATTTGTTTTACATTCTTCAGAATACCATTGACTTTTATTTGGGATGTACAAAATAGCTTTACAGCTTATTTCTATAAAGGAACTGCAACACATTCAGAATGAAACAGACATCAACATTTTACCTTAAACTCAAGCATGATCTGAAAGGATTGATAGGAGTTCTTCAGAGGCTCAAAGGCAATATGGGAGAACCCGTAAAACTGTGGATATTTCACCACTACAACTGGAGGACCAAAAAAAAACAGATAAAAAAAAATAAAAAAATAAGCTCAAATTCAGTACCATAACATACTCCAGAGTGTTAATCAATTAAGCAATAATAGTCCATTAGTGGTTCTCGTCTCACCCTGAGAGCAGGCGTCCCCTCCTCTGCCCAGGGCACAGTAGCAGCGAGAGCCCCCACTTTGGTAGTCATCTATACACATACTGTTGGGATAACACACAGCGTCCTCACAGGACAGGTCATACAGCGTCCTCACCTGTCCCTTCCACTGGGACCTGGGGCTAGCAGGGCTAGGGGAGAGGTGGAGAGCCAGGGTGGAGCCGTCCGGAAGTGGGGCTGAGCTAGGGGTCGGTAGAATGCTATCCAGGCCTGGAGACAAGGTGAGGGCAACTGGGTTGGTGGTAAGGGTGTGATTGGTGGGAATTTGTGTGGTAGAGATGGATATTATAGTGGCTGCCTTGTTAGCAGTGATGATGGTGCCAGAATCAGCAGTGATCTCTATAGGAGGCATTCCTCCTCCCCCTTCGTGTGAGATGGGAGTCCATGTTCGGGATCTCAGCTGAGATCTTCTGTCTTCTTCTAGAGAGAAAAGTGGCTGGAGGAAAGACAGTAGGACACAATAAAGAAGAGAAACTTGGATGTTTGGGAAATAGCTAAGTAGAAACATAGTGATTGTGAAGCCTGCATGACACTGTCTTTTACCTCCTGAATGAGGGCACCATAATCAGAGTTCTTAACATCAGTCAGATCCTCCTCATTAATGTTGCCGTTGCTAGGATAACCCTGACCCAAGCTCCCGCTTCCCCCTTCCTGCACACCTAACACAGAGACATGAATAAATGACAATCATTGACTTCGACAAGCAGTTTATAACACAATAATTAATGAAGAGATGTCTCCCCACACTCACTGAAGGTCCATATTGGGTCAGTGATGGCACTGGGTGGGCTAGCTCCGTAGACATTGACTGCCTGGACAGCAAAATGGTACTGGGTTTCAGGCTGCAGTCCTCTCACAACCACCGAGCTGCTGTTCACTGTATCCTTTAGGGATGTCCACTCAGTGTCCAGCTCTGGTCTACATGGTATTACAGGTAGAGACAGAGTCAGACTCTGAGGTAATGGTATAAGTAACTGTGAATGCATTTAACTTGTTAATCATCCATTACAATCTGACTGGGTAGTGTGTCAAAGACAGGTAGGTAGGGGATAGGTTAGGAACTCTCTTACTCACGTTAGACAACGTCTACGTACATGTGTGAGACAGGCTCTTTCAGAACACAAACACCTGCTTGCTTACAGTAATTGCATGCTGTGACAGATTGAGACATTATAGAATCGTGACGGTCTGAATAACAGCATGTCAGTGAAACTCAATGAGCTCAGCAAAATATAGACAAGTGAAGTATGTTTGCTTTGCCCTTGTCAAAATTTAGAGGTTTGTCCACAAATCCATGCTGACTACAACCTTCATAAGTATTATACTGCCTTTGTCACCATCCTTAAACTCAGGTCATGTAGTTTCAATGATAGAGTCAGTATCCATCCTCTATGCACAACAGATTCAAGTGAGGAAAACAATATTCAGATGCCCTCCAGTCATTTTAGCCCTCTAGTCATCTTGTTAAGGACGGAACAGTGTCTATCTGGATCCAGACACACTCACATCATCTCTCTCTGGTGTATACTGTATGTGTGTGGTCTGTCCCTTGCTCTGGATATCTGCTATCTGGCCATTCTGGCAGCTCTTTAGACAAGAGATTAATTACTCAATAAAAATCTTACAGTACTTCACAGCATCATTAACATTCCATGTTTGGTCCCAACACGCAAACAACAGGCTGCACGCAAACATTTCTTCGGTTTGCTGTTCAAATGACTCCTTGTCACGATCGTCGACACATGATGAAGCGGACCAAGGCGCAGCGTGATAAGCGTACATTCTTTTAATGAGTATACACGAACAAAACAATAAACGATACGTGAAGTCCTAGGGTTTAAACACAAACCTTACGGATCAAGATACCACACCACACAAATGCCAAATGACTACCTAAGTATGGTTCCCAATCAGAGACAACGAGCTACAGCCGTCTCTGATTGGGAACCACCCTGGCCAACATAGAAATACAAAACATAGAAACTAACACCCTGGCTCAACATAAAAGAGTCCCCAGAGCCAGGGCGTGACACTCCTTTTGGAATGTCCATTCAAATCTATCAAATGTTTGACTAATTGACTATTTATTTAGTTATTCTCTAAATCCTTGTACCCATACAAAATCATACAGCTCATCCCCATTGAACTGTCAACCTCGCAAAGTATTGTGGTGTTTGTGTGCCACTGTAAAATCCATTATCATGCTTAGCACTCCTGTATATTTCATCATAATATTTACTAGATTGTTTTTCCTCCACTACTTTTGTTAATCAAAACCAAACTTGTTGGCAACCTATCTGTAAGAGTAGTGGTTCCAGGAGATTGCTGTAGTTGAAAATAGCCACCGAACATTGTGTACAACCTAATCTCCCGTGGGCAGATTCTGCGTGTAGACCGAATAATCTGCCGGGACTGAATGAGATGCGTGAGATAACGAGCTACAGTAGTTCCGGTCTTTGGGTATTCGTCACTGGTTATATAGACGTATCAGGATTGGGTGAAGACTGAGAGTTTCCTTTTGTGAGGGTGGAAACTTCGCAAACCACCGGAACTCTCAATTTCTAACACATATAGACCCAGAAGATAATGACGCAGCTGACCAAACTTTGCAAGATTTTACTTCTGGGTTAACCGAGACTATGCACAACCATATTATTTTCAGCCAAAAGGGTCTTCAAGTTCATTCAAGGGCACATTTAACCATTAAACACTTTCAGGAAAAATTACAGAAGTAAAGGAATGAAAAAGACAAGCGGTTGCCTGGGGAACCCTCTAATAAGCACTATAATAGAAGAAAAATAACTCTTACCTGATATAATACACAACGAAATGAAGGACAGGTGAGCTTTCCTTTCCTTCACTCTGTTTCCATGACAACTCGGTTTCAGTGTCCGAAACAGCCCCTACAGCTGGCTGTGAGGGGGCCGAGGGGGGCATGCACATCTCTGTTGGGGGTAGTGGTGGGGGGTGGAAAGATACAAAAACAATCAAAGATGTGAAATCTTTTCTCTGAAATTCCATGTCCATGTTATTAACTCAAAGCTTGGGTGCATTCAGGGGCAATGGAGCAAAGGGTCATTCAGTAGGTTCCATGGTGCATGAACACTCCCTCAACCCCCCCCCCCCCCCCCCCCCCCTGAATTGTTGTGGTACAGTACAGTGAATGAACTGAAAATAACATTCCCAGAAGAGCCATTTGTAGTCAAAGTGCCATCTCCAACCATTCCATTATTTTCTACACATTCAGTAACGTCATTCTGTAAATTCAGCCCCAGATTCAGTGCTACATGCAGTAAGCTCAGTGGTTTTCCCTCATTCAGGATGACCAGACTGGCCATGGTGAGACCCTCTGCTCCATCCACTTACCTGGTTGGAAGGTGCTGACTCTCCGTGGCACGCTGGGTCGTCCCTCTCCTGCCCATCCATACGCACCCACACTGAACACATATTGAGCTGCCATCTTCAGACTGCCAATTTCTACATCCTTACAGCCACAGGAAGATACAAAAAATATAGGTTGATACAACAAACAACAAACACTGAATCTCTTTTTGTGCTCATACAATCCGTAATCGCAGTTTAACGATATTAGTTGAACATGCAATGCAAAATGCACTTACAATAATGGTGTGCCCATTGAACTTGACCTAAGGGGTGAAAAGAAAGGGTTTTCTGAGAAAAACTGTTGAAAGAATAACTTCGAAATACACTTTATTCAATAGTTAAATATAGAAGGAGAAATAGAGATATAGCTCACTGTAGCCAACATGTCCAGACTGAGAGGAACATTCACTGCTACTGCTGAGCTTGCTGGACGGCCATTCCTCATCTCAGTGTAAAACACCTACAGTAGAACACACACACGTGAATACACAAATACGACATGTAGAATTATATAAATCTGCATATCTGTATCCGTCTCAGGACACCTCTGGTTAATCACCTCTGTGATCATTTGTATTGTAAAACAATCAAGGAAACCATGTGGTTGTCTGTATACAAAGGGCAAATGAGCTCTAAAGGACTAGAGGATATCAGAGGACAAAAAAGAGCCTATAAGAGAACCAAGTCTAAGTTACTGTAGTCCACTGAACTGTGTCACAGATGTCTGGGCTGACTTAGCTCATCGTTTAGCAATGTGGCCCATTACAATGGCAAGCCATTGTCAAAGCTGAAACACTAACTGCATGTTGTTTTACGGTAGAACAATTAGCGTACAGCTGCCTGCTCAACCACAGCAAGACATGATTACTGCCACGCTGAACAATATCTCTGTCACACTATTAAAAGCAGACAACAGAACTCCAAATGAGACAAAGTGCTGTAATAATTTAAAAATAACTCAAGGCTTGTAGTCTGTTCAGTTGAATTAGCATCTTGCCACAACCAGGACCTCACAGTCTACAATACGCAATATCAATGTGTGCACCTCTCTCTCCCTGCACATTAGCAGAGTGTTCAAGAGGCCAGCAGGACACTCACATGTCTAATAGGATTGAAGTGTTACTTGTCCTTCTTACCTCTAAACATCCTCCCTGAGCCTGTGTTGGTACTGCACAGTGTTGGCATTAACCCTCTACAGGGTAAGCTCCTGTCCTGTACTGTATATCCTGTACAGTATCACAATCCCTGCTTTCCTTCGGCACATAGGCAATTGCCAGAGAAGGATAGTAAAGTAGCTCATGAACAACTCAAACACATAATACAGGATACTGTAGCTAAAGGTTCTGGGATTGTAGTTTTTGTGACATCTGATATACACTCCCCTACATACGTCAATTTGGCTCTGTACGCCAGCATTTTGGATTTGAGATCAAAAGTTTCACATGAAGTGTCAGTACAAAACAGTCAACTTTTATTTGATGGTATTTTCATTAATATCTGATTTACCGTTTAGAAATGAAAGCACTATTGGTCACGTACACAGATTTAGAGATGTTATCGCAAGTGCAGTGAAATCCTTGTCTCTAGCTCCAACAGTGCAGTAATCCCTAGCAATAAAAAACACATCATCCAGAAAAATACAAAAATAAGTTGAAGTCGGAAGTTTACATACACCTTAGCCAAATACATTTAAACTCAGTTTTTGCAATTCCTGACATTTAATCCTAGTAAAAATTCCCTGTCTTAGGTCAGTTAGGATCACCACTTTATTTTAAGAATGTGAAACGTCAGAATAATAGTAGAGAGAATTATTTCTTTCAGCTTTTATTTCTTTCATCACATTCCCAGTTGGTCCGAAGTTTACATACACTCAATTAGTATTTGGTAGCACTGCCTTTAAATTGTTTAACTTGGGTCAAACATTTCGGGTAGCCTTCCACAAGCTTCCCACAATAAGTTGGTTGAATTTTGGCCCATTCCTCCTGACCGAGCTGGTGTAACTGACTCAGGTTTGTAGGCCTCCTTGCTCGCACACGCTTTTTCAGTTCTGCCCACAAATCTTCTGTAGGCTTGAGGTCAGGGCTTTGTGATGGCAACTCCAATACCTTGACTTTGTTGTCCTTAAGCCATTTTGCCACAACTTTGGAAGTATGCTTGGGGTCATTGTCCATTTGGAAGACCCATTTGCGACCAAGCTTTAATTTCCTGACTGATGTCTTGAGATGTTGCTTCAATATATCCACATAATTGTCCTTCCTCATGATGCCATCTATTTTGTGAAGTGCACCAGTCCCTCCTGCAGCAAAGCACCCCCACAGCATGATGCTGCCACCCCTGTGCTTCACGGTTGAGATGGTGTTCTTCGGCTTGCAAGCCTACCCCTTTTCCCTCCAAACATAACGATGGTCATTATGGCCAAACAGTTCTGTTTTTGTTTCATCAGACCAGAGGACATTAATCCAAAAAGTACGATCTTTGTCCCCGTGGCGGTTTTGGAGCAGTGGCATCTTCCTTGCTGAGCGGCCTTTCAGGTTATGTCGATATAGGACTCGTTTTACTGTGGATATAGATACTTTTGTGCCTGTTTCCTCCAGCATCTTCACAGGGTCCTTTGCTGTTGTTCTGGGATTTGATTTGCACTTTTCGCACCAAAGTACGTTCATCTCTAGGAGACAGAATGCATCTCCTTCCTGAGCGGTATGACGGCTGCATGATCCCATGGTGTTTATATTTGCGTACTATTGTTTGTACAGATGAACGTGGTACCTTCAGGCGTTTGGAAATTGCTCCCAAGGATGAACCAGACTTGTGGAGGTCTACCATTCTTTTTCTGAGGTCTTGGCTGATTTCTTTTGATTTTCCCATGATGTCAAGCAAAGAGGCACTGAGTTTGAAGGTAGGCCTTGAAATACATCCACAGGTACACCTTCAATTGACTCAAATGATGTCAATTAACCTATCAGAAGCTTCTAAAGCCATGACATTATTCTGGAATTTTCCAAGCTGTTTAAAGGCACAGTCAACTTAGCGTATGTAAACTTCTGACCCACTGGAATTGTGATACAGTGAATTATAAATGAAAGAATCTGTCTGTAAACAATTGTTGGAAAAATTACTTGTGTCATACACAAAGTAGATGTCCTAACCGACTTGCCAAAACTATAGTTTGTTAACAAGAAATTTGTGGAGTGGTTGAAAAACTAGTTTTAATGACTCCAACCTAAGTGTATGTAAACTTCGACTTCAACTGTAGGATGAGCCATGACTAGAATACACATTTACATTTACATTTTAGTCATTTAGCAGACGCTCTTATCCAGAGCGACTTACAGGAGCAATTAGGGTTAAGTGCCTTGCTCAAGGGCACATTTACGTCATTTAGCAGACGCTCTTATCCAGAGCGACTACAAATTGGTGCATTCACCCTATAGCCAGTGGGATAACCACTTTACAATTATACTTTTTTTTTTAGGGGGGGGGGGGGTAGAAGGATTACTTTATCCTATCCCAGGTGTTCCTTAAAGAGGTGGGGTTTCAAATGTCTCCGGAAGGTGGTGAGTGACTCCGCTGTCCTGGCGTCGTGAGGGAGCTTGTTCCACCATTGGGGTGCCAGAGCAGCGAACAGCTTTGACTGGGCTGAGCGGGAACTATGCTTCCGCAGAGGAAGGGGAGCCAGCAGGCCAGAGGTGGATGAACGCAATGCCCTCGCCTGGGTGTAGGGACTGATCAGAGCCTGAAGGTACGGAGGTGCCGTTCCCCTCACTGCTCCATAGGCAAGCACCATGGTCTTGTAACGGATGCGAGCTTCAACTGGAAGCCAGTGGAGTGTGCGGAGGAGGGGGGTGACGTGAGAGAACTTGGGAAGGTTGAACACCAGACGGGCTGCGGCATTCTGGATGAGTTGTAGGGGTTTAATGGCACAGGCAGGGAGCCCAGCCAACAGCGAGTTGCAGTAATCCAGACGGGAGATGACAAGTGCCTGGATTAGGACCTGTGCCGCTTCCTGTGTAAGGCAGGGTCGTACTCTCCGAATGTTGTAGAGCATGAACCTGCAGGATCGGGTCACCGCCTTGATGTTAGCGGAGAACGACAGGGTGTTGTCCAGGGTCACGCCAAGGCTCTTCGCACTCTGGGAGGAGGACACAACGGAGTTGTCAACCGTGATGGCGAGATCATGGAACGGGCAGTCCTTCCCCGGGAGGAAGAGCAGCTCCGTCTTGCCAGGGTTCAGCTTGAGGTGGTGATCCGTCATCCATACTGATATGTCGGCCAGACATGCAGAGATGCGATTCGCCACCTGGTTATCAGAAGGGGGAAAGGAGAAGATTAGTTGTGTATCGTCAGCGTAGCAATGATAGGAGAGGCCATGTGAGGATATGACAGAGCCAAGTGACTTGGTGTATAGGGAGAAAAGGAGAGGGCCTAGAACTGAGCCCTGGGGGACACCAGTGGTGAGAGCACGTGGTGCGGAGACAGCTTCTTGCCACGCCACTTGGTAGGAGCGACCGGTCAGGTAGGACGCAATCCAGGACTGAGCCGCGCCGGAGATGCCCAGCTCGGAGAGGGTGGAGAGGAGGATCTGATGGTTCACTGTATCAAAGGCAGCAGACAGGTCTAGAAGGACAAGAGCAGAGGAGAGAGAGTTAGCTTTAGCAGTGCGGAGAGCCTCCGTGACACAGAGAAGAGCAGTCTCAGTTGAATGACCAGTCCTGAAACCTGACTGGTTTGGATCAAGAAGGTCATTCTGAGAGAGATAGCAAGAGAGTTGGCTAAAGACGGCACGCTCAATAGTTTTGGAAAGAAAAGAAAGAAGGGATACTGGTCTGTAGTTGTTGACATCAGTGGGATCGAGTGTTGGTTTTTTGAGAAGGGGTGCAACTCTCGCTCTCTTGAAGACGGAAGGGACATGGCCAGCGGTCAAGGATGAGTTGATCAGCGAGGTGAGGTAGGGGAGAAGGTCATCGGAGATGGTCTGGAGAAGAGAGGAGGGGATGGGGTCAAGCGGGCAGGTTGTTGGGCGGCCTGCAGTCACTAGTCGCAAGATTTTATCTGGAGAGAGAGGGGAGAAAGAAGTCAAAGCATAGGGTAGGGCAGTGTGAGCAGGACCAGCAGTGTCATTTGACTTAACAAACGAGGATCGGATGTCGTCAACCTTCTTTTCAAAGTGGTTGACAAAGTCATCCACAGAGAGGGAGGGGGGGGGGGGGGGGGGGGATTCAGCAGTGGGGAGAATGTGGCAAAGAGCTTCCTAGGGTTAGAGGCAGATGCTTGGAATTTAGAGGGGTAGAAAGTGGCCTTAGCAGCAGAAACAGATGAAGAAAATGTAGAGAGGAGGGAGTGAAAAGATGCCAGGTCGGCAGGGAGTTTAGTTTTCTTCCATTTCCGCTCAGCTGCCCGGAGCTCTGTTCTGTGAGCTCGCAATGAGTCATCAAGCCACAGAGCTGGAGGGGAGGACCGAGC